AAACTAATAGGCTTCGCCCTCTCGCTATCGCATCCCAAATTAAGATATATTCACTACTTGAAATCTTTGAAATAAACATTTTAAATGAAAATTTCATTCATAAATTGGCTTGTTATAGCTAAGGAAAGTTTTACAAATAGATGCCAACTTGTTGAGGGCGAAGTAAAATGCAAATTTCAAACACTTTTCTGCACTATATAAGACGATATTCCTAAACAGAACTATTTTTGATACGAAAATGCAAACAATCCTCAAACAAAATTAAGGTAATGAAGGACAACTAATTAATGAAATAAACTTTTTTTTAAAATCAATATACAAATTAGTTAAACCTGAAGAGTGATATTGCCTAGAAGTAATAATATATAATATAGATATTAAATTTCCTTCGTGTAAATTACTATGAATTAGCCTATATTTAGGCTAGGTAATAAATCGGTGACTATATAATCCAAGTGAATCGTAATAAAATAAAATATTAAAACCGATCCACAAAAAGAGCTCAATGTATTTACTATAACAGAGCATATAAATTACATAATAGAGAAATTCAAAATTAATTCATTAGAATAGACTATTTTACTAATGTTAATGTTAATCCGTTAGTATTTTACGAAAAATATATATATATATATATATATATATATATATATATATATATATATATATATATATACATATATACTCTTTACATACAGTGATAATGATATGTAATGATTTTCTCAGGAGCAGCATATAAGCAATTCGTAATGTATACTTGCTGGGCCAGTTTGTTTTTTTTAATAGATTTTAAATTATTCTAAAATCACACATATATTGTTGGATTCTATAATGTATAATATCTGTGTATCTATATTTCCATATATATATATATATATATATATATATATATATATATATATATATGTGTGTGTGTGTGTGTGTGTGTGTGTGTGTGTGTGTGTGTGTGTGTGTGTGTTTGTATCATATAAATAAATAAAAAAATCTGTATATATACATATATATATATGTATATTTCATATTGCATATATATATTTCGTAAATTCGCATATAAAAAGGTTAAAATTTCCCTTCCTCTTCTACCGTGCGACGATAGCTAAGGTCGGGTTTTCGATCGGTTTGAAGCAATCGGACGTTTAGCCCAACTGAAGATCTGATGACAATATATATATATATATATATATATATATATATATATATATATATATATATATATATATATCTTATAATCCTTTATATATATATATATATATATATATATATATATTCCCCTTACACTCTCTCATTTTAATCACTCTTCTGCTACTATAGAAGGAAATAGTTTTAAATTTGCAGATCGTTTTCGCAGCAATAAGGTAGGACGTATTGGCCAATGCTTATTTCCTCTTGCTTTCAAGAAAACACCGTTCAAAGAGCTTCGTTTAACACATATGAACCTCCAAGAAAAGCCATTCTATCCATAGACTTAACAACACATCTAAGTCGACAGTTTGTTTCCTCTGCCAAGAACTTATCGATTTCTTCCCTCTTGTTTCTCTTTCCACCCCACTTAAATTCTCTTGGACTCAAGACGTTTTAAGAATCGACATAAAGAACCAGAATTACGGTAAACGCTTCAGTATTTCACACTCACCAAAACTCGGCCAACATTCTCGTCCAGATCGTGATATATTAAGAGCTTTCTTAATTGGTAACACACTGCATAATAGACTCGGTCAAGTGGATTTGGTGTGAATGGTTGGTGTTTGATCTTGTGGACTCATCTTCTAATTTGAATCGGTAGCCTATCATTTCATACGAGAATTTGATCCTTTGCAGCTGCTCTTCTCCGCCCACATAAACGGTGGCAAATGACAGTTTCAAACATTACTACCAATAAAGTTCCTTGCCGTTCGTCTCATCGTCTCGTTCTTTATAGTTTTATATTGCACACGTCCGCTAATATCTAAAATGCACCTGTTGTCTTTTCCTATGTGTCAGATGACTGCAAAAAAAAATATATATATATATATATATATATATATATATATATATATATATATATATATATATATATATATATATGTCTGTGTGCGCGTGTGTGTCTGAAATTAGTGCTACTGCTACTAGTACGACTACTACTACTGCTACTATGAATATTATATTTATTGGGTACACATAAATGCGTAGATATTCCTGGTTGTTTTAACAGTGAAATAAATGTTTACTGGCCACCGTATCGAAAGAATTAACATGGAAAAAGGTATTTATCAGATTAAAAGGGATTACATGTTCGAATCCTGTCGGGAGAGACACGCCCACACAGATACATGTAGATATTATCAACAGAGATTGATTATCAGTTTTATACCGTAACGAGACTGACCACAAGTTTTAGACATAAAAGCTGCTAGTCTGATCAAAGAATAAAAATAATTCACTATTTTACCTTTTAATATTATCAAACATCATAATCGATAACCCGGTAGTCGTCAGCATCTGGTCTTATACAGGAAACGAAATGCAGACGAAGCAGGCAACCGTTACTAATAATCAAAGAGACGACGCTTCGAGTGCTGTCTCTGAAGAAAGATGTCACGTGTCTGTCTCGCCAGAACAGAGGTGATGCGAACCACCTGACCTTTCTGGTTATGAAGAAAGAACGTATCTACCACATTCAGGAGGGTGAGCTGAGCGGTGTTATCTATGCAAATGAATCTGAACCAACCGCTAAATTTATAGGCTCCATAAAAGCATGCACGTTTTCCGAAGATGTGGTGGGGATGACCTTATAACGGGACCAATTTTTTAAATCGCAGGGTACGTTGTTTTAGGTTCCCTGATGATATTAATTATTATGGTGTATGGAGGATTTTTTTTTTTTTAAGCATTACGCCCCGAGCAAGGCGTGAAGCTACTAGGATGTAGGGGGTTGCAGAAGATTTGGAGCAAGAGCAGATAGGAGTGATAAAAGAAAGGATGAGAGGGATAGTGGATAGATCAAGGTAACTGGAGATGTCGATTGACATTACATTTGAATAGTTGGAGATTATAGCTCTCAGGGAAACAGTTATTGGGAAGGGTGTTCCACAGGCGAGAGGTGGGAGGTATGAAGCTATTGGAGTAGAAGAAACGGCTACATTTAAAAGTTTCTACAGTGTAAGGGTGAGAGCGGGATGCCAGCCACGTAAGGCGTTTGAATTCATGGAGTCTGGGAACCAGTGAAAGCAGCTCATCAGAGCAATTACCATGAAAGTATTTGTAGAAAAGACAGAGAGAGGCGACGGCGCGTCTGTGAGAGGATTGGGGACGGACAAGTTTTTGTGGTGAATGCGAAAATTTTAACGAGTGAACGGGTCGCCAATCAGATTAGCTAGGTGTAAGATAATCGGGGAAGACCAGCCTCAAGCCGTCTCCTTTTTCGGCCTAGTGCCATAATTTTATTTTCTTAACAATAAATATCGACCGAAAAGGGGATCGTCGTGTGTTACAAGGATTTAAAAAATCATAAATAATTGTTTGTGTTTCCGTCTGCGTTCGTCAATACTTGTGGAAGTCGTGTTTATGCTCTTCTCGTCGTGGTCCAATGTTCGGCTCCTTTAGTGATTGACTCCGGTGCTGCTGCTTTTTCCGTCCTTCTTCGTTGACTGATACCCAACCAACGAAAAGAAAATCTTACAAGCCTTCCTTATTATCACAAGCTACCGCGCTTAAAACATTTAAACTTGTTCTGAGCTCTATTTGCATTAGTCGGACTATTGTCCTCATCTTTGTCGCCTTTTTTATAACAACGCTTCGGAAGTTGTACGCTCCAGCCTTCTTCAGGTGGTTGAAATATCGAACCAAACCCTTTATTTCGCTCACTGGGGTAGACTGTTCTAGTTCCACGTACCATGTCTAATGGATGTCAGTTATCTTCTGTTAATTCCCCTCTCAAAGTTCCGCCTTAACCACAGTCTTTGGGTCCTGTCACTGGATCTAACTAACGCCTTTATCCGCTGACATCCATTAAACATGGCACGTGAAAATAGAATAGTCTACCCCAGTGAGCGAAATAAAGGATTCAGTTCGACATTCCAACCACCTGAAGTAGGCCGGAGCGTACAACGGCCGAAAGGTTGTGATAAGCATGGCAACAAAGATGAGGACAATAGTCCGAATAATGTAAATAGTGTACATAATACCTCATCTAAGAAATATAGACAGATATTTTCTGAGCTATTTTCTTTTATTCCCGTCCCACTAAAAAAATAAAATAAAATAAAATAAAAAATAACAAAAATTACCCGAAGCCTGTAACTAACCTCGCGATAGTGTCAATATTCTACCGATTCTTACTAGTTGATACAAAGAGGGAGGTGCTGCTACAGTGTTCGGAATCACCCGGACCAAACATCCCTCATTTATTTGTTGTGTTCTGTCCGAAGACAGAAACTTAATTAAGATATAAAATGTAGTTTGTCTGCCCGTAAAATGTAGTTTGTCTAACAGATACTTCACTTTGATCCCAGCCAGATGGCTATGGACTGAAAGGTAACGTAACTCGAGTAACACTGGTCAATCGGTCAATAAATACCGACTGCTTCTCTATACGGAAACGGCTAATATTACCATTGCCATTAGAGATGAGGAAAACACATACAGTGTAACCCGGATATAAGAGACCCGGATATAAGAGAAACCCGGATATAAGAGAGATTTTCCCTGGTCCCAAATTAGAGCCTGGGTTAATGTATATAAATTAGACCAGACCTGGATATAAGAGAAACCCGGATATAAGAGAAACACGGATATAAGAGAAACCCGGATATAAGAGACTTCTTCTCGGGTCCCGACAACTCTCTTATATCCGGGTTACACTGTATTACACTTTATTATTTAGCCTCATTTTTGTTGGTATATATTTCTGTTGCTCATCAGGACTCTGATATATATATATATATATATTTTAATTTTCCTAAAGTTTTCTTCCCCACTCTCTTGCACTTTCATCTCAATTTTTGTTCTGTTTTCCACATGTTATGAAGAACTTTTTTTTTTATTACATTCGCCTCAGTATTTCTATTTCTCTCTTTCATTCTGACAATGATTTCGCTTTTCACTTTCTCTCTTTTTCTTTTTTTTCTTTAAACTGTCTCATTATATATCTACCTCATCCCTCACTTTTTCCTGCCTCCATCTTTCTCTCTCTAGACCAGCGTTTCTTAACCTTTTTACCCTTGCGTAACCCTTACAATAAATTAAATAACTCAAGGAACCCCTGACCAAAACAAAATTATATGCCATATCTTTCGCATTTTATTTTCATCATAGTTCATGTCGTAAATATCATAGTATAATTTTTTGAAAAACTGGTTTAAGGAAAAATTAATACTTCTTTGTCAATTTTTTTGTGTTATGCTAAATAAAATTCATACTGTTCGTTTATAATACTTCATCAGGGAGTTTTCATTCACACAAATAAACATCTATAATCAAACGTAAAAAATAAACATAATTAACCAATATCATATAACTATAATATAAATGTAACAGAACGAAAGCAGATAATTGCTGCATTAGTTTTTTTTTATTTTTTATCCTTTACTGGCAATGTTCAAAAGACAAATACTTTCATGGAAATTGCTCCGAGGAGCTGCATTCGCTGGTTCCCAGACGTCATGAGTTCAAGCGCCATACGAGGCTGGCATCCCGCTCTCACCCCTTCACTGTCGAAACTCCTAAATGTAGCCGTCTCTTCTACTCCAATAGCTTCATATCTCGCACCTCTCGCCTGTGGAACTCCCTTCCCTATTCCTGATTCCCTGTGAGCTATAATCTTCAGCTATTCAAGTGTAATGTCAATCGACATCTCCAGTTGCCTTGATCTATCCACTACCCTCATCCTTTTTTCTATGACTCCTATCTGATCTTGCTATAAATTTTCTGTCACCCCTTGCGTCCTAGTGGCTTCCCGCCTTGCTTGGGGTGAAATGCTTAAAAAATAAAAAGAAAAAAAAAAAGAACATAAATCCAGGCAAAATGTGAACCAATAAATAGTCTAAGAAAATGTTACTTTCAGTGTCATTTGATAAATTGAATAATGCTTCTCTGATGTGAAGCCTATGTCTGTCTTTTGCTACACAAATACTTAATTCAAGGTTGAAATTTAGATAAACACACACCGAAACCTTGGGGACATTTTTGCGGAACCTTAGTTTTCCAGGGAACCTTGGTTGAGAAATGCTGTTCTAGACATAGCTTCGTCATTATCTACCGTTGTGCCAAACTCGATATCTCTCGTTTAGTACATTCTCTAGCTCCCACTTCACCTTTCCCGAATCCATAAATATACGTACCTTGAAATTACTATGCTTCTTAATCTCATCAATCAAGAAAACATAAAAAAATCATTTGGTTTCTCTTCAAAACCACTGAAAAGCAACATTGATTTTATTTTTTATAGTCGAGACAAAGTTTAAAGATATTATTCCGGAATATTTCCTCATTAATTCTGTAAGGAATCAGGTGAAGTCTTTAATCAACTGTTGTGTAATCAATTTTGAAACGGTAGCCATTTTTTTTTAAAAAAAAGTATTTTCCTTTTAATTCATTTGAATATCTCCGGCAAAGTTTCTTTTTTCCCTTCCCATCTCTATTTCCCTGTTCTCGTTTGCATCTTTATAAATTTCTAATCCCGTCTAGGTCTCTAGCTACACCCATATGCCTAAATCTCAAACGTCCGCTAACTCTCAAATCTCATCTGTGTAACTCCCAAATCTCGTCTAACTCCCAAGTCTCGTTTATCTAACTCCCAAGTCTCGTCTGTCTGCCTAACTTCCTAACCTATTCTTTCTAAACTCTTTAACGTTGCCTTCTTTCCGAAATCTTTAAATCTCACATCTATAACCACATCCTTCTACCTAAGTCTCTAACCTCGCATTTGTAACTATTTTAACCTCAATATTCTTCATCTTTTAAAGACGGCAATATGCCTAACTCACTAACCTCGCCTGTCTGCATAAATCCCTACCATTCTGCCTACCCACTAAAAACTTGTCTATCTGCCTAACACCATAACTTCTCCTTTCTATATTCATTAACCTCACCTTTTGATCTCTGTAGTCTCGCCTAGATGCCAAACTCATATTCTTTAATTTTCTAATTTATAAACTTTCAAACTGTTTAACATAAAGTTTCTGCTTTTTTCAAACACGGTCTGAACTCGCCTATCTCCCTAACGATTTAAACTCCCCTATGTGCCTAACGCTCTGAACTTGCCTAACTGCCTAACTCTCTAACTTCATATTTCTAACTCCTTAACCTCACGTTTCTGCATACCTCTTTTCAACGCGACGTTAGGGAATTATGCATCTGTCGAACGCTCTAACTTCGTCTTTCTACCTACCTTTTAAAACTCATATCACTACCTCTTTGAGCTCTTTTTTCTGACTTCGCCTTCCTGCTTACCTCACTGTCCATTCCTTCATTCAGTCCTTCTTTCAGTCCTCCCTTATCTTCCTTCCTTCCTTTCTTCCTTCCTTCCTTCGTAACTCTCTGAGTTCACCAAATCTTCTTAATTTAACTTTCCGCCTGATTCGTCAGCCTTATCATTTTGCTTCTCTATTCGCCTGTTTTTGCTGAATTACCTAAGTTCATTTTCTTGTTCATATCTCTAAACTTACTTTTGCTTTTGCATAATTTCCTCGTCCTATTTTTTTTTCTAATTTTTTAACCTTGCTTCTCTGCCTAACGGGATTGCCAAATTATTCTACTTCTCTTGTTCCATCTTCATTCCCGAAGTCCGCCATCTTGCCTAAATCTGTAGCGATCTTTTTCTTTGGTCTTTTCTATCTGACCCTCCCAGCTTGCTTCTTTGTCTAACTTTCAAAAGCCATTCTTTGTCTAAGTCCCTACATCATCTTCTAACATTCCGGCCCTAAACTTTCTACTTCAATATCTAACCACATCCGTTTACCTAATACTTTAAGCTCACTTTTCTACCAACCTTTTTTTTTTATTAAATCTGTTTAATTATCTTTCCCAGTGACATCTTTCTGCCTGTCTCTTTATTTTTTACCTTTCTGTCAAACTCTAGTTCATCTCTATTCGAATCACATTTAGTTTCATCTTTCGTTCAAAACTCTCTCACGTTATTTCTCTGTCTCACTCCATATCCATATCTCTGGTCAAACCTTTTACTCCACTGTTCAGTCCCTCTTGCCTCATAATAGCGCCTGTCTCACTCGACACGTATTGTGGTATTTACTCATTCCCCCACGAGAATGAGATGTGACACAAGGTCGGATTAATGTGGAGATCCCAGCGTGTACCCCCGGGGCAGGGACAAAAATTCCCCTCAGCCCCCGCAACCGTCGGTTGCGCTGGCCTCGGTACGAGCACCGATCCCTCCCTCTTGTGCAATGGGAGGGCGCGGCCACGGGCAGCTGTTCCCCAGGGCTGGGCACCTCTTCAGTATAATTTTCCTTAGTTGCCCCTCTGTCCTTTGACAGAGAAGCCCATGAGCGCACTCGCTCCGAAGACAGAGACGCAACTGAGAGATGATAAGAAAATGTGAAATTACCCCAAAAGAGGAATTTACACAGTACGTTGTGGGTGTGCGGATTGCGTAATGAAGAGCGGTTTGGAATGTAAAATCAGAGAGCGGTGTTCGAATTACATTCCTATTTGTTGCATTCTATTATGAGCAAGTAACCTTGGAACAGGCATGAATCCATCTCTCCCTCGAGCTATGGGTTAAATATTAGGACACTTATGTAGGAGAAAACATTGTTATTCACAAAAAAAAAATGTTAATACAATATCCACCCGTAAAACAAGAATTATTAACGCTTCAGCTTTAAATAATTCACAAAGGGTTGATAAGCCGTAAAAAAAAATCAAATCAATAAATTAATCTAGCCACGTTAATCTCTCAAAGCACGTCTCTCTTTGTTTTTGGATCTTGTATTTATTTCTTTTTTCTGCTCATCTCTTTCTTTGTGTCAACGTTTATCTTTGTCCGTATACACTTTAGCGACCTAACTTCGGGGTACGATTTTGATTGCTTTTATTTGTCACCATTTCTGTATTTCTACTTCTGTTTCTACTTCTTTTGTTATGTCAGTGAATACTCGTTGTCACTTTCGTAATGGTCGTTGTAGTAGAGACTTTGTAACAGCAGATACAACTATAGTAACGCCGTTGAACAATACTGGTGTCAGACACTTTCGAATATCACTCGCACTAATAGTACTTGCTCGATAATACTCGCTCGAATAGTAACCACTGTATACTGATCCGAATTTAGGAATAATATAGTGAATAGAGTAGAGAATAGCGGTCCGTATAGTCATAGAGGATAGACTAGAAATAGCGATTCAAATAGTAATAGAGGATAGAATAGAAATAGTGATCTGTGTTAAGACTCAAGTGTCGGCAGCGGTACTATATAAAAAACTTCATATTTATTTTCTGTATATCTCCTCTTCTGCCTTATTTTGTTTCCCTTGCTTTTTTTCTGTTTCTCCACGTCTCCATCTTTATTTGTCTCGATTTTTCTGTATCGCTATTTCATTGTATACACTTACTTTATCTCTCCCTCCCTCTCAAATCATAATATTCTTTCTATCTTTCTAAGCTCTTTTCGTTACCTTTTTTTTTGTCCATATTTTAATTTCTTACATTTTTTCTCTTCTTCAATCTCTCACTCATCACTGCAACATTTTGTAACGATCCTTGCATACGTTTCCTCTTTCTATTTCTTTCATTAGCTCCATCCATAACTTTCTAGATCTCTTACTACCTCTGTGTCTTTCTATCTTTCTTAGTGTCTGTAATTTTTCTCTCTCTCTCTCGTGACATTACTCTGTATCTCTCTACCTCTCTTTTTTGGCTTCTCTTTCTCTGTTTAACGCTCTCCTCTAATACTATTTGTCACCTTTTCTTACCACATAGAATTCTATCTCTATCTATCTGCGTCCATCTCTCTCTTTATACCTTTCTCTGGTTTTCTATCTATGACAGTCTTTCATTCTCTATTCACTATTCTCTATATCTATTATTCTTTCTTTTTCTTTCTATTCGCCGCCCTCTTTGTATACGTGGATCCTCTCTTTCTTTCGATCTCTCGATTTTTTTTATTTCCTTTTCTCCCCTTCTCTCTTCATCTCTCTTCCCTTCTCCCTCTTCTATAGCCATTCTTATCTCTTTACCTTTACTCCTCCTCTTTCTCTCTGTATTTGTGTAGTGATTTCTCTTTCGCTTTAAATATTAAACTCTGTTTTTCTCTTTACCTTTTCTCATCATTCTATTTTCTATCTCTTTCTTCCTACGTGTCTCTGGCTTTCTCTCTCGATCTATATCCTCAATAATATATCATTTTCTTTCAACTTGTCTTCATTCTTTTCATTTTCCCCTCTCCTCTTCCTCAATTTCCTGTCTTTTTCTATCTCTTTTTACACTTCTTTTTTCAACAACTTTGTATATCCTTTTTTTTTCGCTGTCATTCTACCGGAAGTATTAACACCACTTATATTCTTATCTTTCTATCATCCTCTAATGCTGCCATTTTGTTCCCTAACTTACTCCTTCTCTTTCCCTCTCTCTCTTCTTTTATTCATTCGAGTTCTCTCCCCTCTTACGCTCTCTCCCCCTCTCTCTCTCTCTTTCTCTCTCCTTTTTATCACTTCAAGTACTATCCACTCTTTGTCGTCCACTCACGTTCTCTCTATTTAATGGCTTCAATTCTTTGTCTTCCTGTCAGGCATTTTAATAGACCCCTCCTCTTAGTGTGACAACGTGGGTGGTAACCCTATCTTACGGGTCGAGTAGAACGCCAACAAGTCTTGACAACGGTCAACGAACAGAGTTAAACGTAGAAAGGTCCGGTTTTATGGGATGCAACCGTCGAAAACGTGACGGAATGCTGGATTGCGTTTAATGATTAATGGAATTAAAAGTGGAAAAAAGAATTAATTAATAAAACTTAATTCGTTTTGAGAAATTAGATGGGCTGAGGGGTTCTTATAGAATGGAACCTGAATATTAATTTGGAAATAATTTAACTTTAGTACCCACCAACTCCATCCACCAAGAAAGGCAAAAAACGAAGGCAAGTCATACATTTATCTATATTCCTTAGATGAGTTACATATCCGGATCATTCGTAGCAAAACTCGCCTCAAGAATTTTTCGCCGTATAGGATTTTTGCTGTTAGACAATTTCGCCGCATTTTTATCGCATATTTCAATATTTAGGTATGTATAGTGAATTTAAAAGAGTTCATGTTTGCAAATAATTTGTGTAAATTTCAAAAATACTTAATGAGAGTTTGAAAGGGTTATCTTTCCTTGATCAGATATTTTATATTGAAGTTGGTAGTGGATTCAAGTTGTAAGTTTGTTTGAAATAATATATATTGCTTGTGTGAGAATTATTGGCTGATTGACATTATGTTAACAGAACGTTTAACGTTAAGTCTGAAATATAAAATTGCATGACGTTGGTTCTGGTGTCAACTTGAAATATTTGCGCTCCTCACTGACGAGGTTGAATGATATAGGATTTTGAGCCTATATCTTCGCTTATTAAAATGTTTAAATGGAAGCAACAATAGTGTGAGCCAGATATATTTGAGAACAAGGTACATCGCATATTTAAAAAAAATGCGGCGTAATTGTCTTAAGGCAAAAATCCTATACAGCAAAGTTTTCTAGAGGAAAAATTACTGAAGCTTGTTTTCGTACGGCAAAAAAATATTCACGGCGAATGTTCCTAGAACTGATGAATTAGTGGAACTATTTTACATCGTTCAGACTCTTGTCTTCAACCTTTATGGACGCATTCACGATGTTTCGGCTGTTGTACATTCAGGTCTTCTTCAGGTGATATATACTGGAATTTCGAATCGAACACTTTACTTAGTCCAAGTGCCATTTTATGGATCTTTTAGTTTCAATTAATCCTCTTTAGTAACTAAACTCTCCAAGTTTTTGTTGCCTCTGCTGTGGTCAGGTATTGAATTCACAACTCTTTGGGTCAAGTCACTTTCTTGGATTACTCAAACAACGTATTTATCCCTTTATACCTCTCTCTGCCTTTCATTTTATTACTATCTTTCAGACTGTATTCACTATTCTTTCTCTCTATCTCTCTCTCTCCCCCTCTGTTATCCTTCCTTGCTATGTGCATAAAAGAGTGTGTTGATTAATCCAAAAATGTGACTTGACCACATCAGAGGAAACCAAAAGTTGGAGAGTTGAGTTACTGAAGGAAATTATCTGAAACGGAGATACAAAAAAGGCATGACATGTGGAATTAGAACAATCTACCCGCTGTGGGAAAAATAAAGTGTTCAGTTTGAAATCCCAGCATATGTCCAAAGAATGTAATCATTCGTGAGTCGGTATCTTGACTTCAGCCACTTTCTCACCAACGTTATGCGGCGTCCATCGGTTTTTTCTTTAAATATTTTCATGACAACTGCTCTGACAAGCTATTTTCACTTGTTCCCCAACTGCATGAATTTAAGCGTGCTACT